ACAGCAACCTCCAACTTTTGGGCTTAAGTGATTCTCTTGCCTCAGCCTCCCAAGTGGCTGGGACTACAGGTGCCCGCCACAACGTCCGGCTATTTTTTGCTTGTAGTTGTCATTGATGTTTGGCAGGCCAGAGCTGGGTTCCAGCCCACCAGCTCCAGTGTATGTGGCTGGCACCCTAGCTGCTGAGCCTAGTTCACATATATCTTACTAAGGCAGTGGTTCTCAACCTTCCTAATGCCGCAATCCTTTAATACAGTTCCTGTGGGTCGCAACCCACAGGTTGAGAACCACTGTACTAAGGCATTTAAAGTTCTTGCTACTTCCTATTCATCAGATACGATCAGCATAATTTCATTAATACAGTGGGCCACTTTGATGTTTTGTGGAATGTCAAAGTAAGCATTATCTCTTTGGACCTTATTATAGGAAAGAACACAATGGACACAGCCCTAATGTGAGACTATGAAGGTGTCCTATTTATTGGCCCCGCCAGGTAAAAACAAATTGCTTCTAGTGGTTTTTGCAAATTGGTTTGTATACAAAAACTTTGGCCAGGTTAACAGAAATATACCAAATACCAGAGGCCACTGAAGACTTCTAATAAAGATATTATATCTGAAATAGTTGCTGTAATTGGAGTCGCCACCTAATTACATTTGTGATGATCCATACTCACTCCTCAAGATCCATACAACTGCTGCACAGGCCAAACAGCTAAGTTCAATGGAGATGTGCTAAGTGTCACCACATCTGCTTCTTTTAAGACTTTGATGCATTTCCAGCAGGAGTGCAGCATTGCTTCTGGTTTACTATTTTGGTATAGAAGAATAGTTCCAGAGGATCCTACTTAGCCTTTATTACCATAACGGGCCCAAGTATGTATATGGACCCACAGTAAGCCAGACTCGTAATCCCTCATTAGCAGCCATGTTGTTTTAGGGTCCCCATGAATAAGCATGAATTTAGATCCAATAATTAGTAATCTCAAAAGATCTGAATACTTTCTTTTCTCAGTTCACAGTCACTCTGTAAATACCCACAAAGTATTTTGGGTAAGGCTTAGGAAGATTTATGGTATATACTTATAGCAATGCTGTAGGATAGATCCTCAGAGGGCTATGTCCCCCACTTTTAAATGAAGAGGTTCTGGGTCTGTGACTTAGTTCTAAAAACTGGGTGATAGGCCAGGACTCTCCATTGTGATGACTCAAATCAGGTTTTTAGCTAGACCTGGACTTTTTTTTTTCTGTTTTGCTGTAATAGGCAAACTATAAGTATTTTTCTAGGGATAATATTATTTACCCGTTGCCAATATCCCTGTAGGCAAAGGCATTCTAATTACCATTCCATTCCTGCTTCCCCTTCTGGTAAATGTGCCTACTTTGTCTTTGATAGTTAAGCACTCCCATTTATCCTTTGGCACCTCAGGATCCTACCATCTCCACTGAAATCCAGGAGGTTGTCTCAAGGACAGAATCCCTTGTGGTCATATTTGGCCAGCACAGGAAAGCAACACGGAGCTTTTCAGGGACACAAGCACTCCCCTCACTATTGTATTTCTATTGTGAGTGTCATCTTTATAAAGAAAAGAGTGTCTTCTGGGCTTTCTCATAGGATGTGTGTTTGCTGATAGATGTGTAGGTCAAACATGGTTAAATCCATGCTGACATTCCTATGTCCCTAAATCTCTGGATTCTCTCCTACATGTCATAGCAGGAAAGCTCTAGCATCTCTCCCTTATCAAAGAAAGGCACTCTACCAACAGCAACAAAGTGAGACTCTGTATAAAAAAAAAAAAAAGTCAACTGTTACTAGAATCACCTCCAACTGACAACCTAATACATTAAATCCAGAATGTCTCTAAGTGCATCCACATCAATGAATTCATTCTAACCTAGTGCCACACTATGTCCCCCCGAGCATATAGAGATTTAACCTTAGTATGCATCTACTAACAATGGGGGTAATTGTGCTGAGTCTGAAGGAGCATATCTTTCAAGGCATCTTCCCTATATGAACTTATCACAGGATTTTTGGGCAAAAGAATTCTTTAGAGAGTCCCATTCTTTCCCAATGAATACCCAAACTTATAACATGAGAAACTTGGCATGACTAAGACAAATTCATGTGTAATCCTGACTATTAAAACCAAGAATAAAACCAAAAACAGAAAAATAATGCCCTATTAACACCACTACTAATCAACATTACCCTTGACTTTCTAGCCATACAATAAACCAGAAAATAGAAATAGACATAACCAAGGTTATGAAACCTTACCAAGTTGTTTGCACAGTGCTGCCAATGTACATACACAGTGGCAAGTTCACAAACTTAATTGTGAGACATGGTAATGA